TTTTTCTGATTACTAAAGCCATACTTACTCATTATGTAAAATTCAAACATCAAAGGTATAGAGCATACAGCAGGTATACATCCCTGTAATCCCCCCCTCCCCAACAATATAACTACCTTTGATAATTTGGTGCATAAATATAAAACATCTCATTATCATCTATGATCAACATGATTTCATAAACGTCCAAAATTTTTATACTGTATAATAGCCATCGAGATGGGAAGAAAAAGATTATATTAAAACTCACTGAATACAATTTGCAAGAAGACCCTCACCCTACTTTATTTTTCCTTTTCAATATCTTTTTTTCAAAGCAACCTGCTTCCTTCATATTTTAAGGAGTTTCTGGTAAAAAGAAGCAGTTTCTGGTAAAAAGAAGTTGCTTGGATATTACTGTCAAGTCATCTGACAGCTCACAGGAATTGATCAGAAAAATGTGCCTGCAAATTGACAGAACTTGACAGACCAGACAGGTCTTTCATGTATGTATATTTTTATATTTCACACACACACCCCATTGGTGTTGAGCTCAAAGTTTTTCAAAGAGGCTGCCAAGCCTCACCTTTTGTTTATAAGAAAAATGGACCCTGGGCACGAACATATTCACCCTATTATGTGTGTCTGCTCCAGAAGGATGATAAACCATTTTACACCCTTTGCTTCAAAAACATATTTTTGTCAGGAGAGCTACCATTCTGGACTCTGTCGTCATGTCTTCAGTTTCCTGGAGAAAGAGCATGGAGTCCAGCAAAGGTCAGACAGACTCAGGTGTGAATTCCAGGTCTGCCTCTTACTTGCTTTGTAACCTTCGCTTACTTAAGCCATCTGTGAAATGGCACATGACTCAAAATGGGCTCATGAAGACTCACCAAGATAAATGGAATTCAATTAACTCATCGCCTGGCACATAGGAGATGCTCAATAAATATTACTTCCTTTCCCTGCTTAAGTTTTTCCAGAATGCTTTTACCTCTGTTTCCATGGAAAAGTCACTGATTAAGAGTTGAGGAATATCACATGTAGTCCATAACCTTTTTTTTAATTTTTTTAGGTTTTTATTTAAATTCCGGTTAGTTAATACACAGTGTAATATTAATTTCAGGTATACAATACAGAGATTCAGCAGTTTCATACATCACCCAGTGCTCATCCCAACAAGCGCGCTCCTTAATCCACATCACCTATTTCACCGCTCCCCCACCCTCTTCCCCCCTGGTAACCATCAGTTTGTTCTCTGCAGTTAAGAGCCTGTTTCTTGGTTTCTCCTTTCTCTCTTTTTCCCCCTTTGCTTATTTGTTTTGTTTCTTAAATTCCACATATGACTAAAGTCATATGGTATTTGTCTTTGCCTGACTGACTTATTTTGCTTAGAATTATACTCTCTAGTTTTTTTATTTTACATTATTTACAATAGCCAATGCATGTTGTGCAAGTGGCAAAATTTCATTCTTTTTTATGGCTGAGTAATATTCCATTATATATATATATATATATATATGCCACCTCTTCTCTATCCATTCATCAGTTATCAAAAGAAAAGTCTTCTGCACAGGAGAGGAAACAATCAACAAAACTAAAAGACAGCCTACAGAATGGAAGAAGATATTTGTAAATGACGTATCTGATAAAGGGTTAGTATCCAAAATATATGACGAACTTATAAAACTCAACACTCAAAAAAAACAAATAATCTAATTAAAAAATGGGCAGAAGACATGAATAGACATTATTCCAAAGGAGACATCCAGATGGCCAACAGACACATGAAAAGATGCTCAACATCACTCATCATCAGGAAAATGCAAATCAAAACTACAATGAGATATCATCTCATACTTGTCAGAATGGCTAAAATCAACAACACAAGAAACAACAGATGGTGGTGAGCATGTGGAGAAAATGGAACCCTCATGCACGGTTGGTGGGAATGCAGACTGGTACAGCCACTCTGAAAAACAGTATGGAGTTTCCTCAAAAAGTTAAAAATAGAATTACCTCTATAATCCAGCAAATGCACTGTTAGGTATTTACTCAAAGAATACGAAAATACTAATTCAAGGGGATACATGCATCCCAATGTTTATAGCAGCATTATTTACAATAGCCAAACTATGGAAACAGCCTAAGTATCCATCAACTGATGAATGGTTAAAGAAGATGTGGTCTATATATACAGTGGAATATTACTCAACCACAAAAGAGAATGAAATCTTGCCATATCATTACTTTTAGCCAGCTGAGCTGTGGCACACGAAATTTTTCACATATTTCCTATCTCTCATACTGAAACATTCATATATAAAAACAGGTGTAAATCCTAACTGTCCTCCTGTGTTCAGGGCTATTATGACAAGACTCAAAAGAAGAAAGATCACAAGACTCAAAAGAAGAAAGATCACTGAACACTGGGATGGCTGTTTCCAAGGTGTTTGTTCTCATTGCTACCATTGCCTACTGATGGCCATGCTTACATTATTATGTATTAAGAACAAGATGGGTTACTTTGACACGTTTTCTAGATGGGGAATTGAAACTCACGTATCAGTGGCTTCAGTGATTTAGCCAAGGTCAAACAGCTGGTAAATGTGACCAGAATGCAGATGTTAGATTCTTAGACTAGAGCATTTCCTGCTCTACCCTTCCCCTCCTCCTTCCCTACTGCCAACACACAGTGCTCCAAACTATCATTAGTCTGAGTCACGCAGAGCAGTTTCTGCCCCCAAAGAGTATGGTTGACTGAATTCACCTACTGAGCCTCTCAGCCTCAGTGTTCTCAGCAAAATCTCAATCAGTGATCTATTTGATCAGTGGTTCTCAAATGCTCTTTCACAATCAAATATCAGGAAGTTGAATTTGTGGCCATGAGATAAAATATACACATATTTATCTGCAATGGAGTGAGTTTTCATAATAATTTTATTTAATTCAAAAAACTTTCTTTTAGGAATTTTTTTTTACTTTTTTAGTGTTAAAAATGTCCTTTCTTTCATAAAGTCATGGGGATAGTGGATGGTACTTGGGTTATTTTGTTTGTTGATGGATTTTTTCATATTTCTTTGGCAAAACACAAAAATTGAACTTTATAGCAGTCCCTTGAGCCCTCTGGTTTGTTTTTTAGTTTGTTTTTTTTTTAATATAACTGTACCATGGATGCCACAAATCTGGAAACTGCCAGGACCCGTAGGCCAAATACTCTCTGGCTCTGTTCCAGCCATACACTAGGGGTCTTAGAAGACCCAGCTGAAGGTCTGGAGCTTCCCTTGTTGATCAGACCCCCACCAGAAGGTCTCTTGCAAAATTAGCTGCAACAAAGCAGCCAGAAGACAGGAACCACAAGTTACTAAAAATAACCCTGGGACAGCTGTGCATGCCATCAGAGTTCTGAAGATTACATCTGAGCCCATTTGGGAAGGTTGGCAAAGTCCTGGCAATCTGATCGAGGTGAGGAGGCTCTCGTGCCGGTTCTTCTCTTTTCCCTGTCAGATATTTGTGTTTTGTATTGGGAGAGTGATTTCATTCATTCATTACCCAAACACAATGGCTGAATCCCCCGATCTGATGAGGAAACCAGCATGGTGCTGTGTAGGTTAGCAGGACAAAGGTGTCCATTGTACTGCTGGTGTCTTAGGGGGTCCTTTTCTGTGTGTGCCTCCTCTCCTCTGCCCTTGGACCCTGCTTTCCCCAAGAGAGCCTCGCACTCAAAAAGCCCGTAAGCTTTTAGGACTTCAGATCTGAGATGCATCTCAGAGGTCATTCAGTTCCACCCATGTAGCCGAGGAAGCCAAAAGGGAAAGTCATCTGCCCACGATCACAGACAGATGTGAGAAAACTGGGGCAGGAGTCCCACTCTTCATCACAGAGACAGGTCACACTGATGTAGTACCACGTCTGCTGGACCCCATACTAAGCCTCCCCACACATCATCTTATGGTCCTCGCAGTCAAACAATGAGGGCCCCTTCATTTACCATTTTACAGATGAGGCAACTGAAGCTCAGAAGTTAAGTAGCTGTAGGAAATGTAGGATTTAATCCTGTGCAGTGTGACTCTTTAGCTGGTGCTCTTAGCTCCTACTTTATGCTGCCTCAAGGTCTCTTTTCTCGAAAACCTGCATCATCCGGCCTCTTCCCAACCAGTGCGAAAATGCACCATTTCCCTGTGCTTTTTGCTCTTTGAGACTCGGTAAGAATCGTGTCCTCAAGACTGCGAATCTGCCAAACAACTGTGCCATCCTCCTTACCTATGAGGTATTGAAGGTACTACCCTTACCTTAACGAGGATAAAAATTGTACCTACTTCATAAGGTTGTTGTGAGGGTTAACTCTGTTTAATATAGTGTGCATCATAGGGGTGGTTATTAATTATCTTTGTGTCAGGGACAATGCTTGACTTAATCATAGTGCCCTATTGGCATTTTTTTTCAATGAACAAGCATATGAACTCACACATGAATAAAATGATAAGTAAGACATAGTCAGCCGCTCTTCTTAAGGTGCCAGTACCCTAGTTGGGAAAGGGCCTAAAACAGAGTTGAAATAGTAGGTATCCCTGCATGATTTATATTTTTACTGAGCTAAGACTGCTAAAAAGTGTTAATTCAGAAACCTGTCCTGTGAAAAAAGACATTGATGAGCAGGATTCACAGGGGAACACTGAATATGGGTGTTTAATGCCCACACTTTGCCAGGCCTGCCCACATGATGGGTGTTCATCTGAAGGCTAGTACATGGCAGAGCTGGGATACAGCCCTGTTTCTGTTGAGCTCAAAGTCCAGTGTTTTTCCATGACTCCATTCCACCTCTGAGGCCTTCAAACTCTTATTTAGGGTACCCCTCCCCCAATCTCTTAGGAAGATGATAGAAGCGCATTTCAAAGGTAGGTGCTCCCCCAACCCCAGGGTGAAGACCGCCTGACCCCACTGCCAGCCTTTCCAAGCCTTTCAGAAGCACTTACCTGTGTGCTGACTCAGTCCTCTCCTCTCCACCCTGTTCCTTCCAGGAGCATCATTGCCTTCGCATTAAAATCCTGGGGGACTGTTACTACTGTGTTTCAGGGCTTCCTGAGCCCCGCCAGGACCACGCCCACTGCTGCGTTGAAATGGGCCTCAGCATGATCAAAACTATCAGGTAATCTGGCGTCTCTTCCATAATACCCAGGCCTTCAATGTGCATGAACACAAACCACCCCATCTGTCCTTTGTGGTAGATGATGTGTTTGTTGAAAGGTGACACGCTTTGACTTATGGCACAAAAACTTCATGCCCATTAACTCTCTCATATGAACCCATGAACCTGCCAGCTTCATTATGTTCCTGGTATACCTCCCTTTCAATAATTGTCCAGCATATTTGTATTACCAGTGTCCTTGTGGGGATAACAGCTGTTTTCTAAAAGGTGAGCAAACCTTAGATCCTGGGGGAGTGGAGAGTGTGATTTGACATGTGGGGGGTCAGGATGTGCTACAGTGACAGCTTGGGGAGGAAAGGGTGGTGACAGATGGATTGCAGGTTGGAAGCCGGCAGGGCTCACAGGGCCTTCTCAGCCTTGATAAGGATTGTACTTTAGCCTGAGGCCAACAGGAAATCATTATAGGGCTACCACCAGGGTTGGCTTCATGAGTGTGTGACAAGTGCTTTTGGCTATGGTCAGTGTATCTGCCAAATAGAAGCTTAATCAAGAGGGCAATAGTTATTGAGGTCAAGGATTTTGGAATTAGACTGTGGCTTTGGGACAGAAGCTCAGTGGTGTCAGAGCTCCCCTTGAGGTTCCAGATAGGAGGCTCCAAATCGAGCCTCCAAGCATTGCAACCTTCCCCGACCACAGCAAAGACAATAAAGAGGGTACATGGGTAGAAGTCTTCTCTGTGGCTTATGCCTTCATCTTACAAGGGAAGAATAATCCTGCCATTAACAGGCCAGAAAATTCTTCCAATGAACTCATGCCTTGGTTGTGTGGTCTAGTAGTATGTTCATGATCCTTGGCTGTATCAGTCTGATTTAAAGAGCAGTAGGAGAACAACTCATGTACCCCACACACATCCTCCACTGAAGGCTCAGATCACCTGCTGGCTTCCAAGACCAACCCTGGAGTGGGCAGGAGGGATGTAAGCAATTGGAACCATGACCAACACAGTGTGCCTGACTCCTTCTACTTGCTGACAGATCCCTGACTTCATTCAAGTTTGGGGCAGAGGTCTGTTGACATCAGGAAAGCCTGTGTAGTCCCCTAATTCAGAAAAAGATGGAAGCTCTTTCCCTAAATATGGTTTTGCTTCATCGATGTGACACTGGTCATTTCAAGACTTAGCCAGATAATGTCATTCCTGGTGGGCAGATATGCTACCCTGGCAGACCCTAGGGTCCCACCTCTGGAACCAGCCCATCACCAGGGCCCAATCAAGGTGGCACTGTGCTTTGCTATGGGGTGTATGATGAAAACCCAACCATCGCCATCCCTAAGAGCAAGTAGGCTGGTGGAGAAAGAGATAGGACATGCCCCCTCTTTGACAGAAATGCAGAAGTTCTCACCTTTAGGAACTGTGGAGAGAGGAGCCTACAAATTCCAAACCAGAGTTTCCTTTTGTTAAATGGAAAAGCTTGCAGATGCTTCTTAGTTGTTAATTTGGACACTTGTGAGTCTTGCTCTGAAAACTGGGATGAATTGTAATATTTTAACTAGCTTCAAGGGAGGCAATGGGACGGACATGCAGAAGACTTGCTGTCTCGTATGCATTCTACAACTAATTAAGTGTGTGAACTTTATTCTACCAGCCAGTTGGTAGAAAAAGAAAAAACCAAAACAAAACCTGTGGAGCTCTACCAAGTGTCAGATGCCGCCATGTTCGTTGCCAGAAGTACAGTGATGAACAGGTCACAGGGCGTCATTCTCTTGCCCATGGGTGTCCATTAGGGGGATGACTTGGATTTTCTGTTTGTGAAATGAGAAAATTGGGCCAGACCAGCTCTGAAGTCTTTGCCAGTTCTGAAAATCTGTGATTTTTGGTCAACCACATCAAAATCAAGTTTAAGTAGCAAAACTTGCCACAGGCTTTCTTTTTAATTTATTTTTATTTTTTTGTGGTGATATAATTGACCAAAAAAAATGGTATGTATTTAAAGTGCAGAACATGATGATTCAATATATGGATACATTGTGGAATAATTATATTGTCAAGTTAATTAACACATCCATTGCCTCACATAGCGATCTTTTTCTTTCCTTTTTTTTTTTGTGAGAACGTTTAAGTTCTACTCTTCTGGCAAATTCCAAGTACAGCATTATTAACTATAATCGCCATGCTGTGCATCAGATCCTCAGAACTTAATCATAACAAAAAGTTTGTGCCCTTTGACCAGTATCACCCCATTTCCCCCACCCTCCCTTAATGCTGGCAATCACCCTTCTACTTTGTTCCTATGAATGTGACCTTTTTGTTTTTGGTTTGGGGTTTTTTTAGATTTCACATATACAGTATTTTCTTTCTTTGTCTGGCTTATGTCGTTTAGCATAATGCCCTCCAGGTTCATCCTTGTTGAGGCAAACAGTAGGATTTCCTTCTTTTTTAAAGCTAATTAATATTCCGTCCTTATATGTGTGTATATACAGGGATTTTCTTCTTTTTAAAAGCTGATTAATATTCCAGTGTGTATATATATATGTGTGTGTGTGTCTATAGATACCACATTTTCTTTAACCATTCATGTACAAACTTGCCATAGGAGTTTGTATCTTGAGCTTAGAAGAAATGCTGCAGAGATGATATTGCAGAAAAAATGAACAGTGATTATCAAAATGCTTAAGATACTTAGGACATTATCATTTATCTCTCTGGGGGGGACCTTATTCCTCCTGACCATTTTATCCAATTTGAGGGCTCCTCTCTCGAGTTCTGGAGCAGGTCAGTGAGAGGTGAGAAGTGGATAAGTTGAAATGACTCAAGGACTTTCTCTCATCCGTTGCTTAAGGGCTGCTTTCATTCTCTTAGAATAAGACAGTTCAGTAGGATATTTTTTTAACTGAATGAATCAGAGTCTATTAATACTCAAACACTCCTTGATTATAACGTAGGTGACAGGAGGTCCAGCATTAATTCTTCCAGTTAGCAACAAAACATGATGCAGAGGAATACATAACTCTGGAATGAGGCAACTTCAGTTGCAATGGGCTCAGACTTCTAGAGCTCTCACCCTTACAGTCAAGTGTTGCAGTCTGAGGAAGGATTGGCAGACTATTTCTACCTGAATGCATATAGAAGAGAAGCCCATTTACATAACTTTATCACAATCTTAACATTGCTTACACAAGATGCGATTTTCTTCTTCAGACCCAAAGGCACTTGTTCCAACCGGGAAACTCAGAGAAGCCATAAAGTCTGGAACCATATATAACATGACACTGTGTGTGTTGTCATATAATGAAAATAAGCCATTTATTTACTGGTATGCCCAGACTTGATGGCTGCCCTGTATATTTGTCATCAGAGATGGATCCCTATTTGAGATATTGTCCCCAATTTGTCAGGGTCTCTCCTTGTTCTTTTTTTTTTTTGGCATTTCCTCAAAGAGTTAGGGTCCCATGCTGGTCCACAGAGTGCAGACTGGCAGTGAGGGGCTGGTGTTTTGTTGGAGAGATGGCATCTGGATCTTGGGTCTCTAGATCTCAGGAGCTCCAGTAGTTTCTTTGTTCGGTGAGATTTACAATTTTGGCACAAATGGCAAGCCAGCACTCAAAACGACCCTGTACCTTTAGTCACCAATGAGTCTAAATATGGGATGGAGGTCCCCCTACAATTGTAGACAGGTGAGGACAGGTGCCAAGCTGACCCCGAGTTCAGCTGCTGCTGCTTAGAGCACCGGCAGGATTCACAAGTGAGCAAGAGTCGAGGCAGTCAGAAGAACAAGCATGACAGAAGTAGTTTCCCCTGCATTTTGTCTGCAGCTGTATCTCCACAGTAGTCATTTTGACTGAGAAATAGAGGTGTTTTCCTGGAAACAGAGACACGAAGAATATGCCATCCTAGCTGTTAAGAATGGCAGAAGCCGTGCACGCGCGTGTTTGTGTGTAAATGCGTGTGCATATATATACATGTGTTCATTTCTATCTGAGTGTATGTGGCATGTGTGTGCACAGATGTGTGGTATGTGGGTGTGAGTGCATGAGTGTGTGTGCATGTCTATACACAGGTGTAGGCATGTGTGTGTACACGTGCATATTTGTGCAGGCGTGTGTGTATTGAGCATTTGAAGCAGCCTTTTGTGATCACAATTCTAAATTCAGACAGTGAATTTAGAGTTCAGAGTTAGCGCACAGTTAGTTGATGACCTTGTGAGACAACTGTGGCTTTGTCCCTCGGGCAGTGGGTTCTCACCAACACGTAAAGTAGGGAGGCATCATTTCCCAGCTGGGGCATGAAGAAGGTAATTGTGGACATAAGTAACTCTCTCTTCAGTTAACTCTAGAGAAGAGGAGGCAGATGCTGAAGGAAGAAAACTGGTTGGAAGATATTTTTGTAGCAATTCAGGGAAGAGATGTCAGGCCCTGAATAGAACACGAGCTCTGGAGCAAAAAGAGGACGGTGGTAATATTCCATCCGACCCAAGATCGTGAGAGCCTCTGTAAGAAACAGTACATGATACGGACATTTAAATTAAACAAAACACTTGTCAGGACAGTGAGGTTATATATCACTTGACAATGCTCCAATAATTTTAGACAGGATTCCATTTTATTGGAGATAGAGTTCATTGCTAGATCTTGCTGACATGGCCATGTTCCTTGAGTGGTGACTTCTGGGGAATGTTCTGAGGGTACGTATGGAGGGAGCCCCTGGCCTGCAATCAGCAGACCTCATCTGGTTTCTGCTTCTTCCTATTATTAGGTATGTGGCTGGGGACAAGCGTGACATCACTTCTCAGAGCCTGTGTGGTCTCTTCTTTAAATGGGGATCATAAGATCCCAACTTCAGAGTGTTCTTTTGAAAATTCAAATAGATGGCAGGCACATGGTGACCATACAAATATTTAATAGAACTTTGTAGTTAGGGCTGAGTTTGGACACTGGGAAATTTGACTCAGTTAAGTTATAGAAACCTATTCCTTTCTCATGGTTTCTATTTTATTCCAGTAAAA